TCCGCTATATTGCACTCATTTATATTATCTAATATCTCAAAATCTATATTTTCTATAACATTTCGTTCTGCTGGCTCGCCTCTAATTATTTCCTTTAAAGCCTTCCACATTGTCGTAGGATCATTCTTATTTTGATCTATCATATTTTCATTATATTCTTTCTTTTTATCTCTTATAAGCTTAACTACAGTATTTCTTGCATATTTATACATTAACCAATCCTGTTCTATGCCTGTATATACTGCTCTACGATATGCCTCATCCCTCGCCTTTGCTGCCGCTCTAATTTCATCTGAATACTTTTTTTTTTTTCTTATATCTTTTATTGAAGGTATGTTCTGTTAGGCTCAGTCTTTGCTTTTAATGGTACCCCTCCTTCTGATTACAGGATCGGTTGTTCTTGTTGGAAGCCTTTCTGGTGGAGGAGGTCTTGTCTCAGTTGAGTGCTCTGTAGTAGTGATGCGTAGAGGAATGGTTCCTGCTGCTATCAGGACTGAAATCTCCTTTATTTCTTGCTTCATTCTATTGCTGCTCTCTCGAAGACCTTGTGATGTGTCAGTGCAGATACTCCTGAACAGGAACGCATTTCTGTCAATGTCTCTCTGTAGCACCTTGGTTGTTTCCAGTAATTCTCTAGTTGTGTCCAGGAATTGGTCAATCAATAACAGAGTTTTTGGGTCATCTTTGGAATCTTCCTTATGGGAGATCATATTTGGGTAAGGAAGACAGTCATATGAATCCTTCCTATAAAAATCATGTAGTTTAGGACCCTTTAACCCTGTCATTCGTGCCATAGCCAAGTTATTGCTTGCCCTCATGAAGGCACTAGCTTTCTCTGCATTGACCAACCGTTTGGGCAAGCAGGCCAAGAACATTGTGTTTGTTAACCCATCGGAAGGGTCAATTAAATGTTCCCACTGGTCTGTTGCCCATAACTTCATAATCTGGTTGAAGTTTGAGGGTCTAACCAATGAGATCCCATTCAAGTAAGATAATACTTCATCATCAACAGTATAAAATTGATCTGGAACACTATGTGGTGTTAGATGTGGATTTCTTGGATTGTGAATTCCAAGCTGGAGTGGATGAGTTTTGCTTATGGTGGGTTGCGGGATTGGTTGTGGCATTGTGGAGGATGATGGATCTGGGGCGTTTTCCTTCCCAATGGGGGTCTCGGAGGCTCTGGTTTTCCCTTTTCCTTTGCTTTTCTTTGGTATGTCTTTTTGGTGAGGTGTTCGCCCTATATTCTCTTGAAGCTTTATGCTCCTGTTTCTTAATCGTGTTCTAATCTCTTCTTCCAAATCTCCCATTGTGGATTGTTTAGTAGCTTTCTGGGGCGTTGGAGCACCAGAGGGAGAGATGGACAACCCAGCTGAGCTGCTATCCCTTTTTAATGACATCTCCGAGGATTGATGGGAATCCCCAGGTTGGAACTCCTCCAACTTATGGAAGATGTCTTCCAGTTCGCTGATGGTGGAAGTATGAGTGGGATGCAAAGAGGAAACCGAGTCGGTACTCATTATGAATGGTGATTTAGGGTTTCTTTTATATCTTTTATTGAGAGAGAGAGAGAGAGAGAGAGAGAGAGAGAGAGAGAGAGAGAG